TGAGCTAGCCGCGGTGCCTTGCCCTCCTACCACGGGCGCGGGCAGAGGTAACCTAACGCCGCCCACGCGATGGAGGGACTCTCGATCCTTGAAACAGACGGGCCTGCCCTTGGCAGCCCGCGCTGCCGACGGTGGCTGCCCACCGCCAGCGCTCTCCAAGGCTGCATATTCGAAACCTACACCAGGCTCAACGTGGGGAGGAGAGCAGACACCCGCTGGGGCTGCCCCCTCAGCGGCGTCCAAACAACGTGGTTTGCCCAGGGTCAGCACTGGATACTCGACCTTGGGGCAACTGAAATCCAGCAGCATGCTGGGGGAAGTGCTTCTTCTGACCAGCACGCCGCGACGAGATTGAGGCCCCCCTCTTGTCCCAGAGGCAGGCCTGGGCAGCAGAGCGAGGAGCTTTGGAATGTCTGCAAAGCCAAGAGAGCAACGTGCGAGTGCCAGCGCTAAAACATGTTTTCCCCCTGGAGGACGCTCGACGAGCAACGCGCCAAGGGGCCCCGAGCGAAACCCGAAGCGAGCGAGCCCAGGGAATCAGCGCGCTCCTCCAGGGGGGGCTTAATCAGGAGAAGAGCCCGCGCCTGCGATGAGGTCGGCGCGAGCCCTGGCAGCGCTCGCGTCAGGACGACCCCCGCCGCCTCCAGCACCGCTAGCACCTTCCCCTGCCGAAGCGGGCGCCGCGGGCTCACCAGAGGCCTGGGCACCCTTGCCGCCCGCGGGCGAACTCGGGGCTGATGACTCCTTGCCAGCCCCGGCCGTGGCGGCTGGACCAGGACAAGCGCCATGTTCGTTCAGCACGTCGACGCTTGGCCGCCAGGCGAGAGACGTGTGCACGATGGGCAGCCCTGAGCTCGTCGACCTTCTGCTTCGCCTCGGAGAACAGAGAGCCCGCCATGGCAGACAGGCCCTTCTTGAGCTGCACGACGCGGGACTCGATCTCGAGACAGTCCTCCTCGTCGAGCTCCAGGCCGTCACATTTGAACAAATCGCAAACCTTGATGTCGAAAACCTGGGACAAGCGCTCCTGGTCCATGATGCCCTCGAGTGAGAGCTTGCACACAGGTGTTTCGCAAGCGGCAGGACCCGCCTGCTCCTGGACCAGACGTTGCACCAGGGCCTTGTGTGCGTCCCCCGCGTCGATGAGGTCCTGACGCAATCCGACCACCATGGACCTCTGGGCAGCAAGCTGAGCTTCCAGTTCGTCATGCTTGCCCACAGCGACGACCAACAGCTTCTTGATGCCCTCGACCTTCCAGTGGGCCTCATTGAGGCGGACTTGGATGGACTTCTGGAGCACGGCGGGCTCGGTGAGCGCCCGAGCAGCACGTCGGTGGGCATCGGCTGCAAGCTTGTCGCCCAGCTTCTCGAACCGAGTCGCCATGGTCTCGTACTCTTCGGCCGAGAGCGCGGGGCCAGGGGCTGGAGCCTGGGGTCCACCCTTGGACTGGCCGTGACCGCCCTTGGGGCCTGCAGCAGCGCCCCCAGCCATCCCGCCATTGCCTTGGCCGCCATCCCAGTTGGAACCTGGAAGACGTCCTTGACCAAACAGCTGCATGGCGGAGTTGCCCTGCCAGGCAGAGTCGGGCGCCATATGCTGCTTGTATGAGCCACAGTGCTTGCAGTAGTAGAACCTCGCGGCGTTCTTGGCGCAACCGCAAGTTTGACACTCCCACTTCTTCTCGGACGAAGGAGGATGCTGTCCACCAGGGCCAGCAGGAAGTTGAATGCCAGGAACAAGCGGAGGCCAGCACGCGCCGTGGTACCCAGGCTGGGCCTGGTTGCCCTTGCCCTTGCCGTGTAACCCATGCTTCCCATAGGCCATCGCAGAGCAGAGGGAAGGTGAAAGAGCTCGGAACCCGAGCAACGCAGCAGTAGCTGGGGCGAACCAGCTCTGCAAAGCAGAAATGCCTCCCTGACTAGGCAGTGAGGCGTCACAGATGGGAGCCGCAGACTCCCCCACGCCAGTAAGGTCAGGTCTCATGCCAAAACGGCTACGGACTTGAGCCAAAATGGCTACGGCCGACTGCACGGCTGCCATCAGGATTGCACAGAAAGATGTTTCGGAACAGCTAGCTTTGTCGAACAAATGTGTTGGGATCAGGGTTTTCGCCCATGAGCTTGAGGGTACAGCTCTCGTTCAGACGATACGCCACGTCAAGGCTCAACGTGAGCTTGAGGTAAGTCAGGGCTAAAAGGGCGTCGAGAATGTGTTCGCTGTTACGAATGCTGCTGCCGATCGGTACGCCAAGGACGCCCTCGCCTCCGTCCTGCCCCTTCGCCTGAGTTCACACAATATTTGAATATGGCGGCGGAGAGTGCAGGAAATTGCATGAGCTTGCTGCACATGTGTCACCCCTTCTTGAGAATGAAGTCAAATGGCCAAGGCCTATCGGATTCGAGCGCAGAGGTCGCGGCGACAGGCGTCGTGGCATGACTGGAAGAAGGGTGATCTAGGATTGCAATGCACGAAGTGTCCCAGGGTAGCGGAAGGCGGCCTCGGTGAAGTCTCGATAGATGGATGCCGAGGGCTGCCTCCTATCCTTACGAAGCTGCTCGGCGATCCCATGGGGCATCAGCTCGCCGCCATGGCTGGACCGCGACCTCGGGATTCTGACGAGCTTCAAGAGTCGTGCTGGTCCGCGTCCAAGGAGCAGATCCTGTGTATTCGTTGCGGGGGGTGGTCCTGGGGGAGAGGTCTAAAGTTAGGTCGTCCCTGTACGGCTCCCACGCGTAAAGGTCTGGAGGTCTCGGGCGCTTCTCGGACGGGGTGCGAGGCGGTGATTTATCCATATCCACCGCCTGGGAATCGACGTCCTGGCGCCCCAGCGGGCGGTGGATATGGATCTGTTCTGGCCCCCAGGGGGCCGAATGTATCCATATCCACCGCCTGTGGAAGTCCGCGAAGATCGATCCCCCAGGCGATGGTTATGGATAAATCCCTGCCTCGGAAGGGGAACTGCCCGAATCCACGGATGCAGGCTGCTGTCGATCGTGCAGTTCCGCTTGCCAGGTGTGGCCTCTCCGCCGCCCCATCCGAGCAAGGACGCTCCGGCCGGTGTGCGACCCACGCGTTCGGGTGCAGAGACGGCCCCCTCCCACGAGCGACGAATGGCTGCGCTCTTAGAGCGGGTTCGTTTGAAGGAGCAGGCCAGAGCGGCCCAATCCTAGGAATCAGCGTTGGTTCCTCTTGAGTTTGACACGGCCCCGGGCCCCTGGACGGAATTCGTATCCCCAAGTGGTGTTTCTGTTAGGCCAGGCTGAATTGAATGGTTAGTGCTGTGCACTCCCCCGCGGGTCCTTCCGTTCCGTTCCGCTCCCCCTCCTCCTTATCCTCCTCATCCTCTTCTTCATCCCCATCCTCATCCTAACCCTCCTCCTCATCATCATCCTCATCCTCATCCTCATCATCTTCTTCATCATCATGATCAGCATCATCCTCATATCCATATTCATACTCATCTTCATCATCATCATCATCAGCAGCATCATCATCATCATCATGGTTATCAGCACCGTCGTCACCATCATCCCTCCTCGTCGTTGTCCTCCACCTCCTCCTTCTTCTCCTCCTTCTGCTCGTCCTCCTCCTCCTGCTCATCATTGTGAATAACTCCTCCCCGTCGCACTACTAGATCAATAAGTGGGGCAAGCGGGGCGTTTCGCCAGAGTCATCCTGACAACTGGTGGCCTTGAAGCTTGAATTTCCCATCAGATGCACGGATACAGGGAAGCTCGCGTTCGAAATGCGGCTCTCGTCCTGGTTCCACGCACGTTGACCAAGCAGCTTTACAGATGGAGGGCGGGACGTTCTCAAAAATTAGCTCCCGCGTGAGTGTCACACACCTTCGTCTTGAAAGGTTCCCAGAGATCTGATGATTGAGGGCAGTCCCTTCTCGGAGAAACGCTCTGGATTGATAAATATGATGTTGCTGTGACTTGGGGGATGTGGAACATCCACACGGCGAGGCGAGGCGAGCGCCGACATCCGCAACCGCACTGACGCGCGGCCGCACACCTTGGAGGCGTCGGTGGCAGGGCTGAATCAAACGGTGTTCTTCGTTTTCGTTTTGTTTTCGTTTTCCCTCGTTTTGCCTTCAATCCGCCTCGAAAACGAAACGAAAACGGCCCACGAAATCACCAAAAACACAGTTTAAGTCCAATCCTGGTCGGTGGTGCGGCTGTAGCCTCTCAGATAATGACGAAGGCGTTCCGGAGTCAGTTCGGTGCCCATCCTCCTGTCCTCTTGCCTGAACTCTGCAATCTCATCGAACCCGCTTTCCTTTGCACATAAGATCAAAACACCGCCACTGAGCTCAAGGTCTTCAGCTGTCAGATCCGCTGCGCCATGAAGCATTAATGGGCCGATGTATACGGAGTACGCCAGATCGTCACGATCAAATGTGTCAACAAAAAGCTGTGAACATCCTTCCTAAAGAAGTGCGCCTTGGTTGCCAGAACAGGTGCTGACGCCAGGACTCATCCCGAATCTCGACGAAAAGTGCGTCGGTATCCATATCTGCCTCCATAGCCACCATCCCGTCATCGTCGAAGTCTTCAGGGATAATATGCGAAAGAAACCTCGGTTGCAAAATGGGGCCATCGATTGTTCGAGCATTTGCGAGAAACTGAATGAAGTACACGTGTAGAAGACGCGCAGATGGTTACTCAACTTGTATGATGCTACATACCCCGTGGCATATCTTATAACTAGGAAGATGGTGGCAGTTTCATGTCATATCGGGGCTATTGTTTGAATGACAGGCCCATGCTGCTCTCGTCTTTAAAAAACTGTCCACCGTGAGAAGGAGTAGAGGGACTTGTGAGGAGGGGGACAGGAGGGTGCGTTGCAACATCACTGATGCGCACCAGTGGCGTAATATGATGTTTTCCCTCCTCCTCCTCCTCCTCCTCCTCCTCCTCCTCCTCCTCCTCCTCCTCCTCCTCCTCCCTTCTCCTCCTCCTTCTCTTCCCCACTCCACGCATCGTTCATCCTCTGCCATATCCGTCTTGCCGCCCTAAGAATCGAGCCTGCCCCCGTGGGGTACTCGACATTGAAATAAGGGGGTGCGCTGGTGCAGTTTGAAACCTACTAGAAAAAATCCGCTGGCTGCGTCCGTGTTGTCGACGCAGCAGCCGTGACTCAGGCGAGCAAAACGCTCGCATATCAATTCTGAGCTCGTCCCTCCAAGAGAGCGGGGCGGAACGCCATACCTGCCACGTGAATCCGGAAATGGTTCAGCGCCGTCTCCGCAAGATTCAGCATCACCTTGAGGGGGGTGGAGCCCGCCCAGGCCCCCACGGTCCAACAACAACCGGCCGAACCCATGCGCATCTTGTCATGAGCACCCATGCCGCAGCACATGCCCCCGATCGTAGGGCGAGGGGTGGAGCAGCAGTAGCCTCAGGAGGAGGTACGTGCGGCAACCCTAGTCGAATCCTATGGAGCCCTCGAGGAGCCCCCTGGAACCCCTTTGAACCCGCATAGCCCCATATATCGGCTTGGAACTTCCTAAAACATCATCAACCCGCCACGTCCGTCCTGCTCCTGCTCCTGCTCCTGATCCTGCTCCTGCTCTTCTTCCTCCTCCTCCTCCTCCTCCTCCTCCCCCTCCTCCTCCTCCTACTCCTCCTCCTCGTCCTCCTCCTCCTCATCCTGCTCCCTATCATCATCACCACCATCATCAATGTCACAATCATCAGCACCATCATCACATCATTACCAAGATCACCACCATCGTCACCATCATCACAATCATCAGAATATGGTTATCTTGATGCTGGCGATGATGATGGTGCTGCTGATGCTATTACGGCGGAGGCATTTTTTATCTGTGTAGGCGCCGCGCGAGCACGGCGGTTTCATGCAGGCATTCTAGGGCCCCGCCACCGCTCAGCGCCCGATCTCCTCCAAGAAGGCGGCGTAGAGCTCGGCGAGGTCGCGGGCGCGGGCGGCCGCAGCGCCCTGGGGGCCCGCGAGCTGCGGCCCGCCGCTCCCGCCTTCGGCCGCTAGCGGCAGCACTTCGCCATCGCCGTCGATGCCCTGCTGCCGCTGCGTGGGGCCCAGGCGGACGCCGTACTCTATCGAGTGGTCGCTCGCCGCCGTGGGCTCGGGCGGGGCCTGGTTGTCCTTGGGGAGGCGCCGCAGCTCGATCCCGACGCCGTGCATCTCGGGCCGCGTCCCCGCCTCCAGACAGCAAGTCCAGATGGTCACCACCTGCGCGGCCTCAGCCGCAGGGGGACCCTCCGAGGCCTCCGCGCGCCGCGCCGCCAGCCGCCAGCCACTTGCGAATCCCTCTCCGAAGGCCCGCGCCTCCAGCTCGGGGTCGCCTGGCTGCCAGCAGCCTGGCGCCAGCCAGTTCGCGCCCAGGACGTCCTCGGGCGCTGCCTGGGGCAGCTCCCTCTCGTGCAGCACCCTCTGCACCTGCTGAGCCGCATGCCCCTGCTTCTGCGCGGCCCCCGCCTTGTCCTCGTGCACCTCCTCCGTCGCCGAGGGGTTGAGGAAGGGGGGCTTCCCGAGGCGCTCCTGCTTCTGCGCCTTCCTGAGCTCGTACGCCGCCGCCCCTGCGATGCGCCCCTTGATGGCGACCGCCTTGGCGTGCAGCGCGACGTTCCTCCTGAGCCGCGCCAGCCAGGAGGGCTGCTCGCCGTTGAGCAGCGCGTCCAGCGCAGGCACCACCGCGGCGAGCCTGTCGGCCAGCTCAGCATCGCCCGTGAAGGCCTCCAGCGTCCTCTCGGCGAGGGCCAGCCGCTCCACGAGCTCCTCCACCCGCGCTCGGGCATGCCGCACGGCGGCGTCCGCCGCCGAGCGCGCCCGCCGCGCAGCCTCGCTGCGCTCCGCGCGTGAGCGTGGGGACCTGCGGGGGTCCCCTCCCGTCGCCATCACCTCAAGCAGTTGCTGCACCCGGACCGGCCATGAGCGGAGGCAGATGGCAGCCAGGGGCTTGAGACCGGCTTGAGCCAAAATGGCTACGGACGGCGGAGGCATTGGATAAGGAAGCCTTGGATAAGGAATCCAGGGTCTGGAAGCCAGCTGCATTCCAATTGTGGATCGGCCAGGGGTATCGCTACCGCCCTCATCAGTTAAGGAATCCTCCAGGGTCTGAAGCCTCCTGGGCACACTTCTTAACAAATGCCCCTACCGTATCCTCAACCATCGCATCCCCATTCTCTGCATTTAACCCCTTGAGAGCACGATGAGGAATACCATTGCTCCCATGCCTTGTGTGGGCGTAGACGTGACCGACGCAGAACTGCGGTCTTGGGACAGTGTAGCGGCCGATCGATGTCCTCATCGTCCTCCTCCGCCTCCTCCTCTTCATCATCATCATCCACGTCATCTGAACTGCGCGAAGTGAGGCGTTAGTACAAGTCATTTCACAAAACGAGATATGAGGCCGATGCTAGATGGCAGACCCTTTGGCAGAGGAGGTGGGTTGAGGGGATGGGGCATGTAGAGCAGGAAGGGCTGGAGGGGAGGGAAGAGGAGAGGGAAGGGAGTGGAGGAGGAAGGGGGGGGGAAGAGAAGGAGGAGAATCAGGGGTAGAGGGGGGAGGGTGCTGTTTGGGAAGGGGAAAGAGGATACGCGGTCGCGCTGCGTAGGTCTTCCAGCACAATGTCGGCACACGCAGGGCTTCCGCTCAGCTCTTTCGCGCGCCGTGTCGCACGGCCCGTCGCCTCAGCGACAGCAGCCGATGTTTCGAGTCGCAGGCCCCTGGAGCCCACGTTCCCTCGGTTGTTTAAAGACTCCTGGCCCAGAATGTCTCCCACAGACCGCGTGTTGCTAACAGAACTCCATCGTGACGCCAAGAAGCCTGGGGGGGGCACCGCTCGAAATGGCGGAGAGGAGCGGCGAGAGGCAAGCAGAGGGGGTCCCCGCGAGCGGTCGCCAGGCAGACTCGGTAGTACACCTGGCTCTGGACCTCGGCGCCCGGTCGACCCACGGCCCGGATCGCTCCCTCCGACCGCGCGATCGCGGCGATGTGGCGGCATGCAAACGACGTCGCCGCCAATATCGACGTCGTTGGAGTGGAGCTTTTTGAAAATTACAAGAGGTTCTTGTCGCCACGTCTGGACACAGCGCGAGTAGCAGGCCAGGATGGGCCCTAGGAGGGTCGGGGACTGGCCTTCCAAGGGTTTCGATCGGGGGCAGGGCGAGGGGAACGGCCTTCTAAGTGGGCAGGAACTTCTTAGAAGGGGCAGGCGCCTTCTTACAGACTTCTGAGAAGGCTTGTTGGACGGCAGGAAGGCATCTAAGTGGCGGGGTGCCTTCTTAGAACACCGCTCCTCTCACCCTGCCCCCTTGTGCGCGCCGCCAATCCAGCGCCGATCGCGACCTCTTACCGCGCGATCGCGCCGCCGCCGCTGCCGCCGCCGCCGCCGCCGACGACGACGACGACGGCGACGGTACAGTCAACCCGTATCATAAGGATGCGCGGTAAGGATGCGGGGGCCTTGGAGGCCCATGCGGACGTTTTTCGAACGAGATTGGCCAGCGAAAGTGGCCAAGGATGGGCCGAAGAGGCAAGGATGCAAGGTACCCTTGGGAAGGTTGCCCATCCTTCTTATGCGGGTTGACTGAGGCGCCTGTCAGACGGCATTCGAGCAATCGGAACAGTCCGGTCGGGCTGGTCGTGCGAGCGCCCGGTCCTGCGCGATCGGCCAGCGCTGGGCCCCAGACGGCCGCGGGCAGCTCGGTGACTCTGATGTCCGCGTCCGTCATCAGGTCCTGGCAGGCGAATCGGGGACGCGCGGATCATGAGATATCATAAGAATAGTCCTAAGAATCATCAGAATACTGAAAACAAACTAACGATATGAAGAATAAGGAGAATGGCGCTGATAATATTAGGAAAAACGAGCGCTGCACACTGAGCGGGCAGGCGAATTGGAAATGATCACCCTCGCTCACACGCAAGGCTCCTGCTCAGCTTCGGGCGAACGCCCCGCAAAGTACGGTCTGCCAGCCTGCGCTTCGCCTTTTCCGATCTGGGGGGGTTGGCGGGCCAGTGTGAGCGCTGTCTGGCCAAACCCTCGGTGCGCCACCTCGCGTGGTACCCGCACACCGTGCAGACAACGTAGCCGTTCACCTCGAGCGCCACATGCAGCCGCTGCTGCGCCGTCTCCGTGCCCTCCGTCGCAGCCGAACTCGATGGTGGGCACGTGGAGTCACCGGGCCCAGCCGCTGCCAACTCGGCCTCCTCGAGCGCTGGCGGATGCACCTCTCCGGCCGCAAACCCCTGGCGCTGCACCTTGGCACGCGGGGTTGCCTTGCCCCCGTGCTGGCAGGCCTCCTGGACCGCCCCTCGCCCCCGCCTTCGGCGCTGCGCCTCAGCCGGCGGCGGTGCCTCAACCTCCTCCGCTACCACCGCCGCGGCCGCTGCCGCCGCGCAGGCCACTCCCGCCGCCAAACTGGCACGGGTCTGCGCGGCGCTGACCCGCTCGCTGTCGAGATCCATCGCAGCGCGGTCGGCCTCCATATTCACCCTCGCGGATCCGAGCTCCTCCGCGCTCCTTCTGCTGTCGGTTTGCCTCCTAGCCGCCCGCAGGAGGCACCCCACCTTGGAAACCCCTTGCCTCCTCGCCGTCGCAGCTTGCACGATGCCGCGAGACGGCCCCGCAGGCGCCGCACTGGCGGCCCCTCCTTCCCTCGGACCTCCCGCGCTGCCGCCCCTCGCCGTCGCAGCTGGCGCCAGGCCGCGCGACGGCCCCGTGGGCCCCGCACTGGCGGATCTTCCTGCCCTCTGACCGCGGACACTGACTCGCTTCGCCGTCGCTGCTGGCGCGACGCCGCGCCACGGCCCCGCGGGCGTCGCGCCGGTGGCTCCTCCCGCCCTCTGACCTTCCGCGCCCCCGCCCCTCGCCGTCGCAGCTGGCGCCAGGCCACGCGACGGCCCCGGGGGGGCCGCACCGGCGGCGCTTCCTGCCCGCAGGCCCGCCGCACTGCCAAACCCCACGACCTAGACCGCCTCCTCCTCCTCCTCCTCCTCCTCCTCCTCTTCTTCGTCTTCTTCTTAGTCGTATTACTATTACTGTTATTATGCTTCTTATTATGATTCGCCTTCTTATTCTTAGTCGTAACATTATCATTCGTCTTATTCTTATTCGTTTAAATATTAGGTCGCCCCCCCCCCTGGTATCATACCATTCGCCGTTCTGCGAACGGCGACTGCGAACGGCGAGTGATATGATACCAGAGGGGGGGGAGAGGAGTAGGGGGGAGAGGAGTAGGCGGAGGAGACAGAGGAGGGTGTTTTTTTTTCCCCCCCCTCCCCGCCCTCGCAGGCGGAGTTGTTTTCCTTTTTTTCATTGTGAGAACACCGGTTTTTTCCTATGTTTCCTTTTTTCCCTCTTTTTCGGGCCCTGGGGCGGCGGGGAAACCCCGAGGGGCCGAACGGGAGAGCGAAAAAGAGGAAAAAAATCAAAATTAGAAAAATCTGTCCATTCACAAAGAAAGAAAGGAAAAAAACTCCTCCTCCGAGGGCGGGGAGGAAAAAAATAGTAATAAAAAAAACACCCTCCTCCGTCTCCTCCGCCTAGCCGACTCCTTGACTCAACGTTCCCGCCCGTTTTCTGCCGAATTCCGTTCCTCTTTCTCTCGTATCTTTCCTCTCTTCTCCTCCCCTCTCTCTCTCTCTCTCTCTCTCTCTTTATTGACTCTATCTCTCTCTCTCTCTCTCTCGCTCTCTCTCTCTCTCTCTCTCTCTCTCTCTCTCTCTCTATATATATATATATATATATCCTCCTCACTCTCTTGACTCTCTCTCTCTCTCTCCTCCTCCCTCTCCTCCTCCCTCTGTCTCTCTCCTCCCTCTCTTGACTCTCTCTCTCTCTCTTTCTCTCTTTCTCTCCTCCTCCTCCTCTCCTCTCCTCCCATTCTATGTACCCCGCCCCGCCACACAAGGAATCGACATGTAAATCCGCTTCCCCCGTGTCCACCTCCGCGTCCTACTCTTCCTCCTCCTCATCATCTTTCTCCTCCTACTCCACACAAGGAATCCATGTGGAGGCCCCATCCACATAAGGGGTCGATATGTGAAGGGCCTCCCACATAAGGAATCAAAGTGCACAGGCTCCTTCACATAAGGAACTCATATATGAAGGCCCCTCCCACATAAGGATTCAACATGTTGGAGGCCCCTCCACACGAGATATTAATATGGAGACCCCCTGCACATAAGGAATCAATATGCGGCGGTCCCTCCACAGACAAACTCAATTTGTGGAGGCACCTCCACATAACGAATCTATATTCGAAAGCCCATCCACATAAGAAATCCATGTGGAGACCCCTTTGACCTAAGAAATGAATAAATGGAAGTCCTTCCACAGACGAAATCAACATGTGGTCCCTTCCACAAGAGGAATCAATATGCGCAAGGCCCCTTGCACAGAAGGAAAAAATATGGGGGAGGCCCCTCCACAAAAGGAAACAATATCATATTTCTCCTCCTCATCTTTCTCCTCCTACTCCTTCTGCTCCTCCTTATCCTCAGCCCTGCGCCAGAGCGGGAGGAGGGGGAGGAGCAGGAGGAGGGGGAGGAAAAGGAAATCACCCGCCGCAACAGAACTCAATTGGTGGAGGTCCCTCCACAGACGGAATCAACATGTGGAGGCCCCTCAACTTAAGGAATCGATAATTTAAAGGCCCATCCACATAAGGAATCAATATGTGCAGACCCCTTCCAACATAGGGAGGACCCTCCACAAAAGAAATCAATTTGGAGACCCCTTTCACATAGGGAATGAATATGTGGAGGTCCCTCCACAGACGGAATCAACATGTGGAGGTCCCTTCCACATAAGGAATCAATATGTGGAGGATCCCCCACAAAAGAAAACAACATAATCTTTCTCCTCCTCATCTTTCTCCTCCTACTCCTTCTGATCCTTCTTCTCCTCAACCCCTGCGCCGGAGTGAGAGAAGGAGGGGGAGGAGGAGCAGAAGGAGGAGGAGGAAAAGAAGATCGCCCGCCACAGAACGAATCAATATGTGGAGGTCCCTCCACAGACGGAATCAATAAGTGGAGGCCCCTCCACACAAGGAATCGATATTAAAAGGCCCATCCACATAAGGAATCCACATGTGCAGGCCCTTTCACATAAGGAATCACTATGTGAAGGCCCCTTCCACATAAGGAATGAACAAGTTGGAGGCCCCTCCACATAAGAAATCAATATGGAGATCCTTGCTCATAAAGAATCAACATGTGGAGGTCCCTCCACAGACGGAATCAACATGTGGAGATCCCTTCCACATCAGGAAACAGTATGTGGAGGATCCACCACAAGAGGAATCAGGCCCTTTCCACATAAGGATTCAACGAGTGGGAGGCCCCTCCACACAAGATATCATTATGGAGGCCCCTTGCACATATGGAATCATTATGTGGAGGTCCCTCCACAAATGGAATCAAAATGTGGAGGCCCCTACACAAAAGGAGTCGATGTTTGAAGGCCCTTGGAACAACGAACATATGCAGAGAAGTCGGATCAGCGATAAACGAGTAGAAGGAACGACAATGATAATGAAGAGTAGGAGGGACAATAAAGAGTAGAAGGAACGAGGGCGGTAAGGAAGCTTGCGAAGGGGAAGAAGATGACGAGGCCCTGCAACGGAGAAGGTGGGAGGAAGGAGGAGGGACGAGGGGTGAGGGAGGAGTGAGGATCGGGAGGATAACGAACATAATCAAAAGGAGAAGGAACGAATCATAGAAAGAAATGCAGCGGGAAGGAACGACACCGATGCGGACGGAGAGTGGGCAGCATACGAGGGGAGGGCAGACAAAGACAGAAGTGGGAAGTATCGAAGACAAGGCAAATGGTATGATACCAGGGGGGCGAGCAAATATTAATATCATTATTATCATCCGTAACATGACTACTCTTATTATTCGTATGGCACCTGTGCCGCTGGGTGCCTTTGTGGCGTCCCAGGAAAACAGGCGGGTTGGCAGCCCGATCGTCTCCACAGCTCGACGGGGCTGTGGGAGAGACTCTTGCCCTGTGGTTGGCCAGCCACAGTAGGTGCGGGCCCGCCGTACCACCCCGGAGAGGCCCGATGGGGTTACTCGAAGGGGTCCCCCGACGTGGGGGCGCGGGAACTTAAGTCCTTGGGCAGCGGGGCCTCCGCTGCTTGAGGCCGGCGGCCAAGTGGGGGTGGTGCCGGTGGCCGTGTCTCGGGGTGGCATCTCGAGGCACCTCGCAACGGCGGCGCGAATAACGCCGGGGGCGGTCCGTGCCGCCGTTCGTGTTGCGAGGTCCGACTGCATGTGAATTCATGCAGGCACCTTGGGCACCTCCCTTCGGGTTGTGTCGCCCAGGTGTTCTGTCCGGGCACAAAAAATATTATTCGTATGATTAGTATCATTGTTATGATTCGACTTGTTATTCGTATTCTTAGTGCTCTTCGTAATACCCGTACTCGTATTATCATTATTAATATTATTATTGTTCGTCGTATTATTGTTTTGCTTGCTATTCTGGTTATTATTATTCCTCCTCCTCCTCCTCCTCCTCCTCCTCCTCCTCCTCCTCCTCCTCCTCCTTCTCCTCCTCCTCCTCCTCCTCCTCCCCGCCTGGCCCGCTCACCCGCGCCACGCGCCGCCCGAGGATCGCGATCTCTTCCGGGTCGTCCGCAATTCACGCGACCATCCTCCTCCACGGCCTGGGGCCACAGGGGCCAGTCTACAACCTCCATCGCACTGCCTCGGCGGTGGCCGTCCGCCCGGGGGCGCGACGGGACGCGCCCTTACCGTGCCCCCCCCAGGTCGCGCTGCGCCAAGTCCAGGGGGGGGAACATGCCTCCACCTTCTTGGGCCGCTTCTCCGCGGCCCTCGGCTGAATGTCGCCCCAATCGTCGACCCGCTCGTGCCACCAGCCGATGTTGTGGAGCACCCGCGTCACCTGCTGGCCCGCCCCCTTGACCGCCTGGCCCCTACCACACCCCGCGTCGAGCTCCGCGGCCTGCTTTGCCAGGATGTCGACCTCCTGGTTTCTGAGGGCTGCTCTCCTCTCAGGGCCCTCCAGCGTCGCGGTCACCGCTCGGCTGCGGCACGCCTCGCAGTGCTTCGCCACCTCCACAGGCACCCAGCGATCCTCCATGCAGAACCAGATCTGCCACCAGGCGTCAGCGCGAGCCCGTTTTGTCGTCGCACCAACTTCGCCCACGGCGCAGACACAACACAATGACCAAGTGGTCGGCATGGATCACGCAATGCTCATTCGCGCCTATGGCATCCGTCCTGGTGTATCTCCACACCTGCAGGAAGCCCTTGAGTTCGGCCCCATGCCAGGCCGACTGGCAAGGGGCATCATGCTTGCATGGTGGCCTTACCATCAGCAGCCACTGGCCTGGCCGCCCATCCCGTCTGCGCCCACATCGAGCTGCCTAGCTTCGAGCCGTCGCACACGACCATTCGCGTGAACTCCGCCTCCTACATCTCCGCCTCCTCTGTCCCTGACGGTTTAGTGCGTGGCGACTCGCGCGGGGATGGGCTCGAGGAGCACCCATCCCCGCGCTCTGACCCCGACTTCGTTTTTGTCGCCACCCGTCCTTCAGCAAAACCTCCAGGACAGGGGCGAGCTGAGGGGAACGACCGCCCCCGCGCACTGACACCAAACTCCTGACGCCGCTTGTCCAGGAAAAGACGGTGGCGGCGCGAGCAGGGATGGGCTCGAGGAGCACCCATCCCCGCGCTCTGATTTTCCGTGATCTGGCTGCGCGAGAGTATCTAGCCTGCCTCGCACAGCATCAGCTTCGCCACAAACATCAGGTGAACGCTTCCCCTCAATCTCCTCGGCAACCCCGGCTGCCTGCCGCTGTCGTTACCACGCCCTCTCAACTCGGGCTCCGCCTCGGGCCGCCTCCGTCAGGGCCCCATCTCTCAGGGCCCCATCTCTCAGGGCCCCATCCCTCGCGCGCAGCTCCGAACGAGACCGCAGACCGCAGTGGAAACAAGCCTCTGAAGGCCAATCTCGGCCGCCTTCGCGGGCCGCCGCGTGTAAGGCCACGACGCGGCAGTGCAGAGAGGAGGAGGAGGAGGAGGAGGAGGAGGAGGAGGAGGAGGAGGAGGAGGAGAAGGAAGAGGAGGAGGAGGAGGAGGAGGAGGAGGAGGAGGGGCACGAAACTCGCTGAGCCCGCCTCCGAGGCCGAAGCCGCACTCCTCCTCGTCGTCGTGGTCCGCGCCGCTCTCTCCGAGACCGCGGCCCTGGCCGGGGGGCTCTCCTGCCCCTGCCCCGCCGCTCCCTCTGCCGGGGGACGGCGGGCGCCACCCCGCGCTTCCCGACGCGCCGCGCGGCGTGCACCCCCCGCGGGGCTCGAGTTCGCTGTCCGCCACCGGGCGCTTCGGGAGCCCTCGTGCCCAGGCCAGGTTGGCGGACCCCTCCTCCTCCGCCACCTGCCGCCACCTCCGCGGAGCCTCGAGGCCAGGAAGCGCTGTTTCACCTGCACTCGAAGTGGCGGTGGTGGGCAGTGACCTCCTCTGCGCCACAGGCCCGGCACTTTGGGCCCCCTGCAACGCCCACCCTGTGGAGCTCATCTGAGGCCCGCGCGCCGCCGCCTGCCTCGCCGCGTTGGTCGAGCTTGAGCATCGCCTGCACGTCCATGGGGCACGCCTCGGCGAGGTGGAGGCCCAGGCCCGAGCGCGCGAAATAGGCCATGACCACCCAGCACGCCTCAGCGACATAATGCACGCTCCTCCCGGCCCTCGAACTTCACGCCATCCGCCGCTGATACCCGCCTCGACCTGCTGTCTGCGCCATGATTGCCCAACGCCGCAGCCGCGCTCGCGATGATCGGCACCGCCGTCACCTCGTACATCGGGTCGCCCTGATTCTTTTCTGTGGCCAGCATCAAGGACGGGGACACTCCTTCAACCTTTCCTGACATGAACGGGAAGCGCGTGAAAGGACAGAGCTGCGCAAGAACGTGCAGCATCATCACGATAAAATGTAATGTAGGCGGGCTCTCCGAACGTCCACAGGGGATACCTACGGACACGCGCTCGCCGAACGTCCACAAGGAGAGTCCTGATTATCCTCTTCACTTCTCTGTACGCCTCCAATGTCGTCCGTCTGTCCCTCACTTATCTGATGTGTTCGAAGGCCCGTCCGAAGGCACACGCACGCACACACACACACACACAGGAGGAAGAGGCTCTGGTACGTTTTTGAAGACCTTCTCAAAAGCATTTGCAAGGGGGATGTCTCGAGCGAAACGCTTACTTATCTGATGTGTTCGAGTAGGAGGGGGCGAAGGAGATGGAGGAACGTGAGGAGCAGACGGCCCTCACGTCTGCCCAACAGAGCCTCACAATACGATCATATACAATCACTTAGTATAGAGGAAGTATCATATACAAGGGCCATCGTACACGAGGGAGATCATATACAACGAAGTCCATATTCAAACAAGATCATATACAACTAAGGGGCCGCCCACCCGCCGTCTCGCATTTAGGCGACTGCACCGCCCCTACTCCCGGGTGTCCCTGGGCGGCCATAGCGTATCCCTGGGATTGTCCAGGGCTTCAATGACGGCTCAGGACGCCCACCCAGGCCACCAAGATAGCCCAGAATCGCTCCAAGGCGGCCCAAGATGGCTTCCAGACGGCCCAAAAGGCCTCCAACACGGCCAAAGAGGCCTCCAAGAGCCCTGCCAAGAGACATCATATACAAGGAATGTCATAGACAAGGGCGATCATATACAAGAACTTAATATAAAGGAAGTATCATATACAAGGACCGCCAGTATCATATACAAGGACCAAGTATCATATACAAGGTTATCCAAGAACACCTCGAACATATGTCTCATAGCAGCTCTTTCGACATCCCATTTTTTCCGAGGATGTCTCAGGCGAAACGGCCGTTTTTGAAGTTCCTAATATTAGGCCAGCGATTTCAATATCCCGAATGCTTGAAGATATCTCAGGCGAAACGCTCATTTTTAACATAAGACGTCTTAAGACACGACCCACAACTTCACGATTTGGCGAGGACGTCTCAGGCGAAACGCTCGTTTTGGGAATCCGCCAGGCTCTGAATCACGAGGCGGCGCCGCACGTTCCCCCTCTAGACCTCCCCCAGTTGACAAGTAAATCACTCTGGGCAAGCAGACGTCCATCGCGCGACTCTTCGAGTCTTGGCGCGCTTCCCGTCATCCTACCTTACCCAGCTTCAACGGCAGACCCCCCCCAAATTGCACCAGCTGCACCTCGGACAAGCCCGAGCACCTGACGCAGTAGGTGCACGATGGCTTGAGGCCCGCCCTGAAGATCGTCGCCCCCCAGGGGAGGGGGGAGGAGGCGAGGGCCCGCGCCGATCGGCAAAACAATGAATCCGCCGGCCCCCTTGTGGGGCCACCAGTCTGTAGGACGAAGGTTCGCAGTTTCCTGTACCAGTTGCAGCTTCCAGTTTCCACTGTTACAATTATGCTTCTTACTGCTTACTGTTCCTTGTTGACTTCTTGCTGCTTACTGTTTCTTGTTGATGGACCGCGCGAGGGGAGGAGGCCCAAAACATGCATTTTTACCACGCCCAAATCGTATGCTCTGAATTGCTGTGTTGGGTAAAAATTAACACCACTCACGCAGATCGGCGGGGTCAGGGTCAAAAAAACACAAGGGATTTACCACATTTCTCACATTCGGTGGCACCCCTCATGCAGATCGGCGGGTTCAGGGTCCAAAAACACAAGGGATTTGCCACATTTCTGAAATTAGGCGGCACCTCTCACGCAGATATGTGGAGTCAGGGCGCAAAAACACAAAGGTTGTGCAACATTTCCAACATTCGGTGGCACCCCTCACGCAGATCGGCGGGGTCAGGGTCCAAAAACACATGGGATTTGCCACATTTCTGAAATTCGGTGGCACCCCTCACGCAGATCGGCAGGGTCAGGGTGCAAAAACACGAAGGATTTGCCACATTTGTGACATTCGGCGACACCCCTCACGCAGATCCGTAGGGTCAGGGTCGAGAAAAAACAGGTCCCGACACTGCTTCACGGCGAAGCCAAAGCCTCATGACTTCGCTCTTCCATGGCCCATTCTCCGAGAGAGGGGGGCGGCGGCAGAGGGCGAAGCCCTGACGGATAAGAAAACGATGAATGAACGAAGTCGGCGCCGGCCGTAGCCCACCGTGCCAATGGCGCCGGCATGCTCCTGTGCCACGGGCGGAAGCCTGCGGAGCAGGGCGAGCCCTGATCGCTTTGATCGCTTGATCGCTTGAGCCAAACTGGCCTGCTTGAGCCAAAATGGCTTGCTTGCGTTTCTTCTCCTCCACACATCCTCCTCCTCTTCCTCTTGCCCATCCTCGTGCTCATCCACCTCCTCCTCCTCCTCCTCCTCCTCCTCCTCCTCCTCCTCCTCCTCCTCCTGCTCGTCCTCCTCCTTCTGTGCACACAGCTCCCCTTTTCCAATTGCGTCTAAGTCGCTGGGTTCTTCCTGTTCGAGCTCCAGAACAAATCAACGAATTGGGAAGGGATGGGAGGCAGGGATAGGATGTCGGATGTGGCGCGAGAGCACCTAGCTTGTCATATGCCCGTCTCCGCTCCCAGCGTCCCTCCCCCAGCCCATTTCCCCTCTCCCCTCTTCCCCCTCCCTCCCCCCGCCACCACTTATCCTGTTCCGCATGGTGTTTCTCGCCGCTCCGTTGCTTTGTCCACCAGTTGGACCCGCGTCCTCCACGAATGCATGTGCCCAGCGGCGCTTCTCGTCGTCGAGGAATATGCCGAAGGCCCCCTCCTCCGGGCGCGCATCGTCCAAGGACTTACTCCCACCAGACGTGTGCGCCCCAACATCCTCACACTCCCTGCTCTGCCTCCTCTCCATCCCACTTAATTTCTCCTCCTTCCCACCCTCGTGGCCATCGGCCCCTTACGAAGACGCCGCGACATCTGGATCATGACTGGTACGTCATCATTCCTCGTATCTCCATGTGTGAGGCATGCGCGGCACTGGCGCGCGACACCCAAACGATGGCAACACGGACGATGCGTAACCGATCAATGGCGCTCACACCCCCGCGCACGGGCACCGTTTAGGCTGTTGCGGGTGCGGCGCCAAGGCCCGTTCAAGTCCGGCACGACGCAAAATATGATCCGACACTTCAACACTCCTCCGACATCGACACGATGTTCAAAACAGCTGTGGCCGTTTCAGCGTTCACATCCCAGCTCGCACTCGATACAATGCCGTACGTTTTCGATGCATGTGGCTTTGGTCGTCCCACCCTGCGTCTTGCGTAATAGACTTGATCGTGATGTGGAATCTACTGGCGTACTTGCCGCATCTAGCCTTTCCCGCCAGAGACAACCCGTTTGCAAATGAATTGCCATCTCATCGGCCACACTGCAACTACACACAACATTTGACTCGTAAATTAACGATCGCTGTCTCGGCCTTGCGAATTGTCCGCTTGCTCCAGTCTTCCCAGAAACTCCAGCGCATGGCGGCTACACCATCATCCAGAATCGGCGGCGCCAGACATGGCAACGCACTGTGCTCACGTGGCATCAATCGTCGGCCTCGTCGGAAAGCAACTCGTGGGCTACAACTTTGGATCCGAAGCCAGACGAAGGCTGGCAAACCCGTGGCTGCCAAAACGGAGCTCCGGGAAATTGTTTGGTTCTTCTGGGAGGCAGCCCGTTTACTATTCGGCGCACTGAATTGCACTCCGGGACCATGCTTCCTTCCAGGAAGGCCGTTTTAGCAGCCACGGATTTGCCAGCCCTCGCACAGCTTCCGGGCAACTTTGGACGCACGGGCCCCCGAGCGCAACTCAGGGACGCAACCGTGCAGGGCAGCGTACGGGCTGCACTGCACCTACGAGAGAGAGCGCGCCCGTGGCGCACTCCCGAGGGGGGGGGGGGGCCCTTCGCTATGCCCCTCCCCCCCATTGGGCCGCCCCTGCTGGAAGCCCCCCCCCCCTTCTTGTCCGCCCTTCGGGAAAGCTGCTCCCCCCCCCCCTGTGGCGCTCCAGAAGCTCCCCCCCCCCTCCCTGTCCAAAGGGCAGGGGAGGGGCTCAGCTACCCCCCCCCCCCTTGGACCTTGGACCTCCCCTGCTGCAAGCCCCCCATCTCCTCCTTTTTGTGTCCACCCCAGAAGCTCCCCCCTCCCTTCCCTCTCCAACGGGGGGGGCTTCGCTACCCCCCGCCCTTGGACCCCCGCTGCCGGAAGTCCACCCCCCCCACACCCCATTGGGCTAAAGAATGGGAGGGGCTTGGGAGCCACCCCCCCCACCCCTGGCTAAAGGAAGAAGCGCCGAAGACCAAAAGAGAGCCAAAAACCAACGGAGCGCCGAAAGCCAAGGAGCCACCAAAAACCAAAAGAGCGAAAACCAAAACGGCGCCGACTTTTAAAGCAGCGCCGAAAACCAAAAGGGCGACTGCTTCCTGTGCTTGAGTCAAGCACAAGAAGTAGTCATCCTCGTAATCGTCCGCATCGTTGGTATCCATTCGAATGCTCTCGAAGTGGTGCATTTTAAAGTGGGTCTGGACACACGCATCCATCGCGCTGGTCGCGCTGCCAGTAGCGACGGACTCCGACTCGCTGCGCTCGGCGCTGGAATCATGCGGCGCTAGGTTGGCGCATCTTGAGCCACCATACCCAAGCGTCTTGATCATCTCGACTGTGAAGGTTGCGCACGCTGGCACCTGTGATGTACCGCAGGAGGTCGTAGCAGAAATCCAAATTGATGATCTTGCTGCGAAGGGGTTCACGCAAATTTGACTGTGTTGCCGTGCGCCTTCCACTATGCCGTCGGCGTGAGCGACAGCAGCATCAGAAAGTATTTGGAGAAGCTGGTCGCGAAGCCGGTAGACCAGCTCATGAGGGAGTGGCAACGAAGGGAACGAACAATGCGATGGGGTGACCATACAGCCAAAACGCCGCTTGAGCCACAGTGGCTACGGACGGCGCATGAGGAGGAGGAGGAGGAGGAGGAGGAGGAGGAGGAGGAGGAGGAGGAGGAGGAGGAGGAGGAGGAGTGAGGAGGACGCTTTCGTAGCTTTCGGCTTTCTGGAGGGCCCTCGCCGCCAGGGCTGGCATTCCCCATGATGTCCTGGGCAAAACGCGCTCCAGGACAGCCAAATCCCACCTCTTCCGTCGAGAAGGATGCTGTCCGCCAGAGGGGTGTAAAGGCAAGACGATTTGTCGGCGTTGCTGCATGTTCTACCTCCTCATTCATCCTCACTCCTTTCAGGAGAGGAAAAAACACACAGACACAATGAATCGTCGATTCCCAGGAAAATATGGGAAAATATGGGAAGTGGGGGGGAAGACAAAAACCCAGAAAATATAGAAAAATATGGGGAATAGTTTTATTTGTGTGTATTTATTTGTGTCCTGGGGCCCCTTCATCCTTGCCCAGCCCCCACCCTCCCCGCCGCCGCCTCCCCGCTCCTCCCTGTTCCTTACCCCTCCCTCCCTCCGGTCCTCGAGTGCCACGTCCCAGCCTGGGGCTTCGTGCAGCATGTCATCAGAGGAGATGTGGCAGGTCATCGTGTGGCCGAGGCACCGGATCTCGAAGCTCATGCTCACATCCAGGACGAGCCGGAAAGAGAGCGCGATGATGTCCTCGAGTAGCCCGCCACCGCGCCATGGAGGCACGAGCTGGAGTGTCCTCGGGTCCTTGGCCTGGGTCCCTTTTGAAGCCTCGGGCCTCAATGCTGAGGACTCTTCAGAGGGCCCGGGCCCCAGACTGACCAGCCTGCCGGGGCGCGTCGCGTGGCCCCCCTGGGGCTCCCAGAGTGCACTCCGGGGGTCCGGGGCGTCTCCTCGCAGGGCTTCTGGTGCCCCGGGAAGGCCCACAAGCTGGCCCCCTCGGCCCCAGGAGGGTCGGAGGGGGGCCCCGAGTCGCCACACGGTCGGTCCGAGGTGGTGCCGGAGACGATCCCCACGACGGCACAGGATGCCCCCAAGACGCCCCAAGAGGCCTCTAAGAGGCTTCTCAGAGGACCCCAAGAAGCAAAAATCACTGAGTTGCCTCAGTGGGTTTCAGGGATTTGGGCGTTATCGTTTTTCGACTTCCCGAGGCTCCAAGACAGCTTAAGAGGCCCCAAGATCGCCAAAAGACGGCACAAGAGGCCCCCCAAAAGGGCCCAGGACAGCCCCAGGGCCCGAAGACGGCCCAAGGGCTCCAAGACGGCCCAAGAGGCCCCCAAGACGGCTCCAAAAGGGACGGCTCCAAAAGGGGGGCAAGACGAGGGACCCGAACGAACATTTCGAGCTCTCGGCCCCGAGAGGCCCCCAGGAAGCCCCCAGATGCTCCCAAGAGGCTCTCAGGAAGCCCCACGAGGCCCCCAAGAGGCTCCCAAGAGCCCCCCAAGAGGCACCCGAGAAGCCCCCAAAGAACCCCCCGAGAGCGCTCCGAAGAAACCCCAAGAAGCATCCCTGGGTACTCTGACCCGCAGTCCAGGCACGGTGGCA